GCTTAATTTTCAACCAAACAACAGATAGGCGTAGGAGCTGATGCACTCCTTAGAACAATCAACTAACTATAGGATATCAGAAGGACAGCATTTGCACAGGGAGAAACTAGGGAGACAGAATTGCACAGGTAAGAAGGACTCAGGAAAAGGGTGATCATAGGGAGGAGGTAAGAGGAGAGCTGTTACATTGTAGAGATTACAATCAGTGTCACAAAACAAAATGTAAATATTAACTGTTGCATGTAAAATGAATTTGCTCTGTAGAATTTCATCTAAATCACAATAAAAAAATTTTTAAAAAAGTTGAAAACATTTTCTTTTCTTTTTTATCTTCTTTACCTATAATTTATTTACTTCTGATCACAAAATGTCGGGAAGCAGCAAGGGCAGTACCTCTAGCTCCTTGGTTGCATGCCTTTCCAGTTACTCATTTATAAATGCCCTTTGTACAGCATCAGGATCGTAGTATATGCACAACATTTCACAACATTTTTTTTTTTCAGCATTCTGATAGCTGCAGAGTATAATATATAACATATGTAATGTTTTCAACAAATGCCCCATTTACAATTTAAGGTTCCCTGCAATTAATTTGCCAGCTCTCTTTTACAAAATTATTGAAACCAGTTGTTCCTACTATTCTTTTTTGTAAACTTCTCACGTGAACAATACGTATGTCATAAACAAATTATTCCTACACAGCTGTTGGTAGTTATAAACTCTTTAAAGAAAGATCTTTCTGAAATAGGAGCAGTGGTCACGAACTCTACCTTGACTAAGGCCTTTTTTACACAGCCCCAGCCTTCCAAGCCTCAGGCTACCTGTGGATCCTTGACATAGGATGCTACCTTCCTGTCCCTTACATACCAGGGTGGTGAATGGAGAAAAGGCAGGCCAGGCCTAATGAGGAATTAACAGTCTTTACTGAGCCTGTGCCAGAAGTCTATGGATCTTGAGGATCTCTGTATTTGTCTGCAGTCTTTCCATGTTCTGCTTGGCATGTTTCCGTACTTGCATGAGCTACTTCTTGCAGTTACAGGTATTGGCCTGCCTCTTCTTCAAGGTGGTGGTCACTGCCTGGTACTTCCAGCCAACCTTGAGCCAGTTATCCCTGGTAGATAGACTTATGACTGGGCTTTAGATTAATAACCTTAAGGGCAGCAGAAACCACCACCTGCTTTTTCTTCCCAAAGAGGGGGTTTCACTGAACACCTTGAGGTGATCCAGGATGGCATGGTCACATTTGGCCTTGTGGGGTGGCATGTGTTGCATGGTCAGCCAAAAGATACCACTTGGCATGTAGTAGTGGGAGAGGCCTATGGGGTGAGTTGGTGTTGGTGCACATGAGGAGGAATGCAAGGTACTTCAACTTGTTTCTGTAAAAGTTGCCAAAAATGTTGATGCCCTCACAGTGTGAAACCACCATCTTCTCTCCCAGAGGCCTTGCTTGGTCACATGACTTCCAGGCAGTCCAGGAGATGGTCTTGGGCACTGAGCTTGGCCATCGATTTGTCCCTTTACCATCTTTGCAGCTTCCTGGGAAAAAAGTAGACATGTTGTTTTAGATGGTAAATAATGGAAGATGTTTCTGGATAGTGTGATTCCTTTAGCTTTCCTTTCTATTAAAAGGCATACTCCTGTTTTTAAAGGTAACCTTACCCATGCATATTTAATAAGATTCAGGTGAATGTATAAGATCCTCATACTCAAGTGTGTTGCTTTCTAATACATAATCAAAAAATAAACTCATTACCATGGAGTCAATTCTGGTTCATAATGACCCCCTTTGGGTTTCCAAGGCTGTAAATCTTTATGTAAGTAGACTGCCCCATCTTTCTTCCACAGAGTGGCTGGTGGGTTGGAACCACTGACCTTTTGGTTAGCAGCCAAATGCCTTAACATCTACATCATGAGAGCTCTTTTCTTAATACATGGATCTAAATATTTTGTACGTAGATTTTGTAGACTTTTTTGCTACTTTGTTTGTATGTATTAGAGGCCTCCTGCTCTTCTCCCCTTCCTTTCAACATCAAGGTTCCAATTGCAACTTGCAGGAGGTATAATGAGCCAATAAGCCTTCATCTTCTACTTATAATGAGTGTAATGTTGATTAGAACTGGTACTGGTTTCCAGTTCCATTCCTGATTACCAACACAACCAGAGTGGACCTAGATAGTGGCCATGAAAGACTCTAGATGCAGTCATTTTAATTCCTTCTATACTTCAATGACTTGGATAGGAAGAGATGAAACTCAGGCTCCCTACATTCTCTGAAGCACCACAAGTGGATTTTCCTGCTTTCCTGCTCTGTATTTTGCATCTTTGCTGTGCAAGTTCAGGGTGAGCCAGATTAAGAATCATCCATGTGCCACATAATGATTAGTAGTTGCTGCCACTGGTGTTTGAGTCATCCACTCAAGACTCCTGCATCTGATCTCCACAGTTAATTTTAGATCTCCTTTTGTTTTATTCTAATCTTCTCCACCCTCCAGTTTTACAACTTTGATCTCTGCCTCTAACTCCTATGGATTGCACTCTAGTCTTGCTCTCTGTGGTAAATGCCCTCAAGTTTCTGTTAAGCTATAGACAGAAACTTTATGTTCAAGCTGTTTTTTGGATTCCAGTTCCCACCACTGTCAACTTGATCAGCTTAGACCCTTTTTGAGCAGCAAACACTTCAATTCAATGATTGCCTTTCTTGTTAAATTCTCTCCTCTTTCATGTCCTTATGTTCTCTATCTTAATAACTATTAACCATCCAACTACGTATGACATTAAATTTCAGGTGTGTAGATGAGTGTTCTTTTTGATGCTAGAGGTCAAAATAGCAAATGCAGTTGGAGTAGCCTCTCAGAAACAACCAAACACCTTGAGAGAGAGAATCACCAGGCCTGCTCACTCAGGACCATAGTCTTGGGGGACACCAAGCTCAATCGGTGCCACAACATGGTACATAAAAATCTTGTTCCACAGCCTTCTTTGGTGAGTAGTGACTGGGTTCTTAAAAGCTTTCAAGCAGCCATCTAAGATGCAACTATTGGTCTCTTCTCATCTGAAGCAAAGAAGAGTGAAGAAAATCAAAGGCATCTGGAAATAATTAGTCTAAGGATATGATGGACCCTGATACCAGAAGAGCTAGATGGTGCCTGGCTACCAATGCCAACCATGTAGAAAGGGATCAAAACTGGAGATCCTGAATAGAGTGGGAGGAAAAATGTGGAACAAAGTTCAAAACACAAAAATGACCAGAATTACTGGTTGGATAGAGCCGGGTGGAGCCTCCAAGACTATGGCTCCAGGTTACCCTTCGGGCCTAGAATTGGACTCATTCCCATGGAAGAGCCCTCAGACCAACAGTAGAAAGACTTATATACAGAACACCTATCCCAGGGAGATGTACCCACCTACTCCAGGGAGATACACCCCTTAGAGCAATCAGCCATGGGGCACCAGAGGAACAGCATTCACATAGAGGGAAAGCTAGACAGACAGGAGGGCATAGTTAAGAAGGGCACAAGGAGAGGGTCATCACAGGGACAGCAGGGGAAGAGAGTTTATTATGGTTGAGGATGGTAATCAGGGCATGAAATCAAATATACACAAACTGTTGAATGTAAAATTTTGCTCCATAAATTTGCACTCAGAGCACAATAAAATTAAACACACACACACACATACAGAAAATAACAAATGCCATGTAGAGAAGTATATATAGATTTTTATATGCTAGTCACTCATTACTGATATTGAGAATAAAAGTCTGTTATCAAGACAAAAGGAGACAACCTCAGCAGTTTCTCAGTGCTCAGTAGATGCTTTCTAACATAATCTTATCTAATCTTTAATTTTTTAAAAGCTTCTCTTGATTCATTGGTTTCTCATTGATGTGCTGTTGGCACCAATGAGTTTATATTTATTTGACAGAGTGTGTACTGTATTAATTAATATTTATGAACTCTGCTAAAAAACATGTTTTCTTTAGTTGGAAATTTTTTCATTTAAAAAAATTTATAATGCTCTTTTTTCAGTGAATATTGGAAGATGGATCTTTTTTTCTTTCTACTTCCTTACATTTATTTTAAAAAATTCAAATTAAGGGCCACAAAATCATCAATATCAGGAATACTTTAGAAATTCTGCATTATGTATTGTGATATTGTTGTAATTATTTTTTCTTGGTTATAGAAATATGCTCCTCCTGATTGGATCTCTACCTGTTGTCGGGAAACAATTGCTCACTGCATCCATCATTTCTGGCTGCACATTACCATGTTTCAGAGGTCTCCAAATTAATCCTCTGGAAGCTAAAATCCCTCATAATTATAATCCTGTTATACCTTCTTTATTTCTTGATGTGCTTGTTAATTCATGTCCATCCTGCAGTGGTCTGTAACATAGTGCTATTATCAGCTTTTTTCATCTTTAAAAGCCTCTTCTCTACCATTTTGACTAAGATTGATCAGCTGCTCTTTGTTGAAATTGATCATTTTGGATTAAAACAGATCTATTCTGTATATTTCTTCTGGTTACTTTTGCATGATTTCACTTTTTTTCAATTAATCAACCTGACAGCCTGGTTGCTTTTCCCTTTTTGGCTTCCTTTCTCTTGCTCTTTTCTTTCTTAAGAGTTGTCTATCTTTATCTCTTTATTTCTCCTGTCCTCTTTTAGACAACACCTCCAGAAAGAAAAGCCAATTGTAAGAGATAGTAGAATAAATTTCCTTTTAAAGTCTAGCTAGATGTTAAAAATAAGATTACTCTTATTTCCTTTTTCATAAAACAAGAAAGATAGTCACTCTACTTGGTTATATTCTCCCTGAGCAGATTCTGGGGTGAAAACTCATGATTGACAGCTATGCTCTAGCAGTGAGAGTGTAATGTGCTTTTTATTTATAGCCTGAAGCTTTTCTATTTTTTAATCTACCAGATGAACTCAAACTTAGACACCAAAATTCTTTTGGACATACTAATGTTTTGTTTTTTTTTTTTTTTTCCCCTAGGTACTGACTTTAATATAGATAGCTTACCTTTGCCTCGGAAGGCCCATCATGACTGGGCTCTTTTTCATGAAGAGTCTCCGAAAAACAATTATAAGCTCTTTCACAAGCCAGTCATCACCTTGTTCAACTATACAGCTACTTTCAGCAGGCATTCCCACTTGCCACTAACTACCCAGTACTTGGAGGGTATAGATGTCCTGAAGTCACTCCGATACCTGGTTCCTTTGCAGTCTAAAAACAATCTTAGACAAAGACTGGCTCCACTGGTGTACGTACAGTCAGACTGTGACCCACCATCAGATAGGGACAGCTATGTTCGGGAACTGATGACTTACATCGAGGTTGATTCCTATGGTGAGTGTTTACGAAATAAAGATCTCCCCCAGCCACTGAAAAATCCAGCCTCCATGGATACTGATGGCTTTTATAGGATCATTGCACAGTATAAATTTATCCTTGCTTTTGAGAATGCAGTTTGTGATGACTACATCACAGAGAAGTTCTGGAGACCACTGAAGCTGGGGGTAGTCCCTGTGTACTATGGATCCCCCAGTATTGCAGACTGGCTACCAAGTAACAGAAGTGCTATTCTTGTATCACAATTTTCTCATCCCAGAGATCTGGCAAGTTACATCAGAGAACTGGATTATGATGACAGATTGTATGAGGCCTACATAGAATGGAAACTGAATGGCAAGATCTCTAACCAGCAACTTCTCACAGCTCTCAGGGAAAGGCAGTGGGGAGTGCAAGACATTAACCAAGACAATTATATTGATGTGTTTGAGTGCATGGTGTGTAACAAGGTATGGGATAATCTGAGGCTTCAGGAAAAGGTAAGCAAATCAAGGTTTGGCAAAGAGTTGCTGGGGCTGGCTTTCTTGATGATCTCTGTCATTCTCCATGGGGGCTTGCCCTTCCTTCTGTTACCGTTGCCTCATCCCTGCTCTTCACAGATATCAGAGGGAGGCCAAGGTCTGCATGAAGATTGACTATTTCATTACTGAACTTTGAGAGCTGCCATAAGGTTTATTAGTCGTGTGCTTCTTCCTTAAGGCATGAAATTCTCCTTTATTTATTGCTTCTTCCACAGGACACCCATGCTGTGGGTGCTGGGCAATGATACAAGAAAGCTGGAGGAGGGAAAAAGAAAGGCAAACAAATAAACAAACTTAAAAAGTTCTGAATCACATCTACTTAGCCAGTCCTTTGACTTTCCATCCATACAGTTTTAATCACCTTTCTTCACCAATTTGGTGAAGGAGGGATTTCTGTCATGTTATTAAGATGGCTAAACACACACCACCAAACACTGGACAATAATTCATTACCCAAAATAAACTCACTGCCATCAAGTTGATTCTGACTCATAACGACTTCCATTGGGTTTCTGAGGTGGTAAATATTTATGGAAGTAGATTACCCAGTCTTCCTTCTGCATAGTGGCTGGTGGGTTTGAACAGCTACCCTTCTGGTTAGTAGTCAAATGTCTTAGGCACTGCACCACCAGAACTCTTTAAATAGTTCACTAGTCAGATATATTCACAGCCAAGATGTGTGTGGGAGAACACTACATACCAGACAGGGACATATGAGGATTATGAAACAGGTGTTTTAGAATCAAGAGGATGGGGTACTCCCTACTTCCTCTGAGAGTATATAATTGGCTTGCTTGAATAATCCAATAGGCTGGCAAGGAGCTGAAAATTGCTGCTCAGGGATAAGCAGGAACTGTACCTGATTATCTCGAGAAGGAGGATTGTTTGGCTAGGAGACGTTATCTGCAGGAACAGAGTGAGGAGGGGAACTTGTGGCCATTTGAAGCCTTCCCAGAGTTACCAGTTGTCAAGACAGCACATAATATTGAGTCTTAATTTTAGGCCTTATGCCACAGGGATCCAGGTAAGGGGAGGAGACAGGTCCCACCACAAGAGACAGGAAGCAGGGAAAAAGCCAGGGACCAGACAGAGCCATGGGATCCAGGTAAGGGGTGGGAGACAGGCCCCACTCCAAAGGCAAGAAGCGGGGGAAAAATTGGGATGACAAGGTGGCAGAATCCAGATAAGGGGAGGTTGGAGAGGTTTCAAACAGCTAAGGGAGACAAACTTGTCTGTCAGTTTGTGGTACTGTGGTGGCTTGCGTGTTGCTGTGAGGCTTGAGCCACTGGTATTTCAAACACCAGCAGGGTTGCACATGGTGCACAGGTTTCAACACAGCTTACAGACTGAGACAGACTAGGAAGAAGGAAGAGGCCATCCATTTCTCAAAGAATTGGCCAGGGAAAACCTTATGAATAGCAGAGGAATGCTGTCTGATGTATCACTAGACAACTTTATAAATAGCCTGGAAACATTATCCAATACAATGCAGGAAGACAAGCCCCTTAGGTTGGGAGGTACTCAAAATACGACTGGGAAAGTACTGTATCATCAGAGTAGAACCAACCTTAATGATATGGGTAAAGTAAAGCTTTGGGGACCTCCTTTTGCTCATGTAGCCCAATTCAAATTGAGGAGAAACAGCTGCAAACATCCATTAATAATCAGAACATGGAATGTACCAAGTATGAACCTAAGAGAATTGGAAGTTATAAAAAATGAAATGGGATGCATAAAGATTGATATCCTAGGCATTAATGAGCTCAAATGGACCAGTTTTGGCCATTTTGAATCAGACAACCATATGATCTACTATGCTGGGAATTACAGTTTGAAGAGCAATAGTGTGGCATTGATCATCACAAAGGATGTTTCAAGATCTGTCCTGAAGTACAATGTTGTCAATGATAGGGTAATATTCATACACTTACAAGGAAAACCAGTTAATACTACTACTGTTCAAATTTATGCACAAACCACCAAAGCCAAAGATGAGGAAATTGAAGAGTTTTGTCAACTTCTGCAGTCTGAAATTGACTGAACATGTGATCAAGATGTGTTAATTGTTACTGGTGACTGGGATGCAAAGTTGGAAACAAAGAGGAATCACTGGTAGTTGGAAAATTTGGCCAAGGTGACAAATAACACTGGAGATCACATGACAGAATTTTGCAAGACTGATGACTTACTCATTGCAAATACCTTTTTTCAACAACACCAATGGCAGCTATACATGTGGACTTCACCAGATAAAGTATATTGAAATCAAATTGACTACATCTGTGGCAAGAGGGGATGGAAAAACTCAATATCTTCAGCCAAAACAAGGCCAGGAGCTGATTGTGGAACAGACCATCAACTGCTCACATGCAAGTTCAACTTGAAGTTGAAGACAATGAAAACAAGTCCATGAGGGCCAAAATATGACTTTGAATATATCCCTCCTAAATTTGGAGACCATCTAAAGAATAGATTTGATGCATTGAACACCAATGACCAAAAACCAGAAGAATTATGGGATCACATCAAGAACATCATCCATGAAGAAAGCAAGAGGTCATTAAAAAGATGAGAAAGGAAGAAAAGACCAAAAAGGATGTCAGAAGAGACTCTGAAACTTGCCCTTGAATGGAGAGTAGCTAAAATAAATGGAAGAAATGACAAGATAAAAGAGCTGAACAGAAGATTTCAAAGGGCAGCTCAAGCAGACAGTCACTTACCATAATGAAATGTGCAAAGACTTGGAGTTAGAAAATCAAAAAGGAAGAACACGCTCAACATTTCTGAAGATGAAAGAACTGAGGAAAAAATTTAAGCCTTGAGTTGCAATATTGAAAGATAGTGTGGGAAAAATATTGAATGATGCAGGAAGCATCAAGAGAAGATGGAAGGAATACACAGAGTCCCTGTACCAAAAAGACCTGGTCAATCTTCATCCATTTCAAGAGGTTACATATGTTCAAGAACCGATGGTATTGAAGGAAGAAGTCAAAGCTACACTGAAAGAATTGGCAAAGAACAAGGCTCCAGGAATTGATGGATTGCCTACTGAGATGTTTCAACAAATGGATGCCACTCTGGAGGCATTTACTCATTTATGCCAAGAGATTTGGAAGACAGCTACCTGGCCAACTGACAGAAAGAGATCCATATTTGTACAATTTCAAAGAAAGGTGATCCCACAGAATGTGGAAATTATCGAACAATATCATTAATATCACATACAGGTAAAATCTTACTGAAGATAATTCAAAAACGGTTGTACCAGCATATTGACAGAGAACTTCCAGAAATGCAAGCTGGATTCAGAAGAGGATGTGGAACCAGGGATATCATTGCTGATGTCAGATGGATCTTGCCTCAAAGCAAAGAATACCAGAAAGATGTTTACTTATGTTTTATTGACCATACAAAAACATTTGACTGTGTGGATCATAACAAATTATGGGTAACATAGAGAGGAATGGAAATTCCAGAACACTTCATTGTACTCATGAGGAACTTGTACATAGACCAGGAGTCTGTTGTTCACACAGAACAAGGGGACACTGTAAGGTTTAAAATCAAGAAGACAGTGTGTGAGGGTTGTATCCTTTCACCACACTTATTCAATCTGTATGCTGAGCAAATAATCCGAGAAGTTGGACTATATGAAGAAGAATGTGGCATCAGAATTGGAGGAAGAATCATTAACAACCTGCAGTATGTTGATGACATAACTTTGCTTGCTGAAAGTGAAGATGACTTGAAGCACTTACTGATGAGGATTGAAGATACAGTCTGCAGTATGGATTACATCTCAATATAAAGAAAACAAAAATCCTCACAACTGGACCTATAAGCAGCATTACAAGGGAGAAAAGATTGAAATTGTCAAAGACTTCACATTGCTTGTCTGTACAATCGACACCAATGGAAGCAGTCAGGACATCAGATGACGTATACTACTGGGCAAATGGGCTACAAAGCACCTCTTTCTTTTCTTTTTTTTTTTAATGTGAAAAATGAATAATTATTTATTTTTATTTTTATTTTTAAGAGCTTGTTTTACATTCAATGTCACATGTACATTTAGTTTCATTCCCCATTCGCTATGTTCAACCCTAACCCAGTCTCATCCCCTCCCCCTGCAACCCTCCCCCTGTGCCCCTCATAATTATGCACTCCTGTTTGTCCTGCATTTCCTCAGTTTGAATGTTGGTCCTTTGGTGTCCCATGGTCTATTGTTCTAAGGGATGTATTCCCATTGAGTGTGTGGGTGCGGCATCCTGGGTTGAGTTGGCTGCGTGTACATCTTGTTAATTATTGGCTGAGAGCCCGCCCCGGGGGTGAGTTTTATTCCAGGCGCAGAATGTATTTCAGGGCCCTAGTATTGGGAGTCTCACCATCCAGTTCTTCTGGTCTCGAGGGCCATTGTGTCCCACAGCTGATTGCTTCTAAATGCCCCCTCTTTTTTTTTGCATTCTTCTTCACTTCCGACATTAGGAGACCATTAGCTGCATCTTAGATGGCTGCTTGAAAGCTTTTAAGACCCCAGTCGCTACTCACTAATGTAGGTGTGGAGCAACACTTTTATGTATCTTGTGCCAATTGAGTCTGGCGTCCCCCAGTACTATGGTCCTGAGGTAGTAGCTCTATTGGATCTCTCTCCCATAGTGTCAGGATGTCTGTGAGGGATTACTCTGTGTCTGTCTTCTATTGTTTCTGTAAGGAAGGCAGGTATTTTGTTTCACTGGTGTCTGTACAAGATTAGCCTCAGCTGAGTCTATCCTTGGTCTAGAGTATACCTCTATTCACTGACCCCTGTCTGATCATCTCAGGTGTTTACGTGTTTATCTGTATAGCCTAGTGTTTGGTGTTAATGGCAATGTGGTATTGTGGACACATTGGTTGGTTTTAGCATCTGTCGTCAACCTCTTATGTGCACAGTTCAGTGTCCTCTCATTTCCCAGTGTTAT